GGGTTTCCTATTTTCCGGCGTTGGAGGGCATGGCGAAGACTATCGACAGGTCATATTTGTATGGAAATCTTTTTTGAGACTCTGGAAAGCCGTCGGCTAAATGTGTCCTGACGCACAATCCACATCACATATAACCAGTGTCACGGTATGTCCTCGTTTATCCATTCTACCTAGGCGCATGATAATCATATCAAGGGAGCTACTTGAACAGTAACTGCCAAAAGAATTGTCGCGGCTTCTATCGTCCATCGCTAGCTAGCTCTCATCTTCTTTACTCTTCTTCACATAGTCCTCATAAAGTTGTTCGACAGGTCGCCCTAGGAGCTCGGTCCAAAAGTCTTTCTCCCGATACTTGGTCGTCCTCAGCTTCTCGTTTATCTTACGAACGGTACCATCTCCGTAGCGACGCTCCAGATAATCGAGGAAGTAGGCGGTGTGCTGATAACCGCGATCCCAACTGCCGTCAAGCTCCTTGCGCCAGTGGGGCGGGCCCAGGTCGCAGCGCAGGCGCACGAAGTCGGCGATGCCCTCGATCAGTCCGCCTGGGCAGGTGCCCTTGGCGTCCCACTGGTAGGCGTGGACGAGCTCGTGGGTGATGACGCCGTCGATCTCGCGCGCGATCCTGCTGTCTTTGTCGCCGCCGCCGCCGCCGACGCCGGCGATGTAGCTCAGCGAAAAGTGTATCTCCTTGTGATCGCTGTCGAGCTCGGAGCCGGTCGTGTAGGCGACGCCGCCCATGTCGCGCAGCACCAGGGTGACGGAGCGGGTGGGCGGGCAGTGCGTGGCGCGGTCGCCCGGGTGCGCGTACAGGATGCGCTGCACGTCGGCGACGGCGCGCGGGAGCAGGGCCGAGGCGTCGACCAGGGACAGGAAGCGCCGGGCGCCCTCGTGCAGCACGTCGCGCACCTCGAGGCGGATCTTGGGCTGCGGGAAGGGCGCGTGCTGCTGCTGCTGCTGCTGCTGCTGCTCCTGCGACGCCGGCTGCGGCGCCGCCGCGGAGTCGTGGGCGCCGGTCTCCTTGCTGCCGACGATGGCGGTGGGTTTGGGTGGGGGTACGGGGTAGGCGGTCGAGGGCGCTGGGGCGGCGGCGCCGCCCGCTTGGGATGTGGGTGGCATGAATATCTGACCTGGCTGAGGGGCCGGCGAGGTCTCGCCGTCCTTTAGGATGATTACCATGGAGGCGCGCTAAGGCAAGGAAGTCTTGAGTGAGATTTGGATACTTTTCTCCTCCTCTACTCCTGGCTCTCTTCTCTATTGCACTTGTTACTATCCCGCTACGCAGAGGCAGCCCAGCGACCTGTGCAGCCAACAGCCTCAGCCCCACCAATCTGCATGCTGCGCGCCATACATAGCAAGGGAGTGCAGCCAGGAGGTGCTCTTTTTTGCCGACGGAATCCTTCCGTGCGCGGCCTTCCCCTAGCCCGGGGTTTGGAGAATAGACCAGCAAAACCGAAATGCGCATGTGGTGCCCAAAGCAGCAAGCGCCGAGTCCAATTATGTTGAGGCCTTGGGAGATTACGACGCGCAGCCAACTTTGCCCGTCGCCCGAGGAGAGGCCTCGCACCAAACAGCAGCATCAAATTCTTTCGGGCTACCTTTTGTTTGTTTGTCTGGATCCCAGCAGCGCAAAGGGCAACGAATGGGCTGCGACCATCACTCCTCGCCCCCTCTCCTTGGAGAGCGGCAGGTGCCCCTCCATGACATCGCACTGGTGGGGCCTGGCCCTGTACCCAATCGTCCGTCCCGAAGCGCGTGCAGTCCCCACACAAAGCTGCATGTTGGGTGGTGCCCCTGCACCCCGGCAACAGGCCGCAGCCGATGCTTGGTCTGTGTTGTGGTCTTGGACCAATTGGGCAAGCGTTGAGACTGGGGGACGAACTTGGGTGGCCCCGACCTAAATCTCCCGTCCAGCGCAGCCAAACGAGTCGCGAGGTGCTTCACCAACCAACGGCCTGCGCAAAACCGCCTGCCCCAATGCTGGACAGATATCTGGTAAGTCTCTCGCCCATCGCCTCAGCGTCCAAGAATAGCGTCACTCGTTCTATCTGCCAGGTGACCGACGCGCAAACATTGCCTGTGCCGCATCAACCTGACGGGCTCCCTCGCATCGCGCGTCCCGGAGCTGACAAAGTCGCCAAAGCTCAACCCGATCCAGATCCGATAACGCCCTCGGTATTGCTCCTTCCCACACGCCCACGAACCTCGATCGTAAAGGAGCTTCGGGCGCACTGCTCTCTTGCTCCCACGACTCGGCGACATGGCCGAAAAGCTGGACGACGAGCAAGTGGCCAACGTGCTCGCCCTCATCCGCAAGGACATCGCCATCGACTCCAAAGTTCAGCTGGTGGCGTCGATCAAGTCCAGCATCAAGCAGCACAATGTGCCCGACACCTGCGTCGTTCCCCTGTTTGAGGCCCTGCGCCTGGCCACCACAGCGCAGCATGCCATCCTCGTCAATGCCGGCTTCACTGCGCTAAACCACCTCCTGACGCGCCTCTCCCGCCAGGAGCCTAAGCACCTGGCGAAGGAGGCCTTGCGCACTCTGCCCGTCATCGTGGACAAGCTGGGCGACCCCAAGGAAAAGTTGCGGGCCATTGCTAGCCAGGCGCTTGTCACCATGTTCAAGGCCGCCCCTGCCGAAGTCGAGCGAATCGTCCGCAACGTGGCCATGGTGGGTAAGAACCCCAGGGCCAAGGAGGCGGGGATGCACTGGTTGCTGCAGGTAAGGATCGTATTCCTCCACCGTTCGGACCCGTTCCGTCGCCGTGACTGCCTGTCCGCTAATCCCGCTTCCAGATGCACCAAGAGAACGGTCTGCCGTTCCGCGCCTATGTCCCCGTTTTGATGGACCTGCTGGAGGACGCCGACGGCATGGTGCGTGACGTCGCAAAGACCACCGTCATAGAGCTCTTCCGCAATGCACCCAACGCCGCCAAGTCGGATTTAAAGAAGCAGCTCAAGAACTTCAAGGTCCGCCCCGCGATCGAGCAGGCCATTGTCAAAGAGCTCGTCCCCACTGGCCCCCCGTCCGCAGCCTCCGATCTCGAGCCTCCCCGCCCCGAGTCGTCGTGGTCGGTCCGCCAGAACCTCGCTGCAAGCGTTTCTTCGCTTCCGTCCGAGAGGCCTGTGACGCCTGGCCTCATCGATGGCAAGCCCGAACCGGTCGACCCGACGTATGTCAATACCCAGCGGGAGTTGGATGACATCATCAGGGAAATGGCCTTCCATTTTGAGGGCAGGGAGACGGAGCAGAACTGGCTGAAGCGAGAAGAGAGCGTCAACAAGCTCCGTCGCTTGATGGCCGGCAACGCCGTCTCCGACTACCACGAGCCCTTCCTTGGCCACGTGCGCGCGCAGCTGGACGGCATCCTCAAGGCCGTCACTTCGCTCAGAACTAGTCTTTCAAAGGAGGGCTGCAGCTTCATCCAGGAACTGGCCATCGCATATGGTCCTGGCATGGATCCCATGGTCGAGATCCTGATGCAGACCTTCATCAAACTCTGCGCCGCCACCAAGAAAATGAGCTCGCAACTCGCAAATGTGACAGTGGACACGATTATTGGCAAGGTTACTTACAGCACCAGGATCATGCAGCATGTCTGGTTCGCCTGCCAGGATAAGAACGTCCAGCCGAGAAGCTACGCGGCCGGCTGGCTAAAGACTTTGTTCCACAAGGAGGCTCACCACAAGTCACACGTCGAGCACACCGGAGGCTTGGACCTGATAGAAAAGTGTATCAAGAAGGGGCTTGCCGACCCTAATCCGGGGGTCCGTGAAAGCATGAGATCCACCTACTGGGTCTTTTCGACGATATGGCCGGCCCGAGCCGAAACCATCATGGGCGCCCTTGATGCAACCGCCCAGAAGCTGTTGCAAAAGAGCGCCGGCAATTCGGGCGCCTCGCCCAAGGAGGCCGAGGGTCGGGCTAGGCCAGGCATGGGTCTGTCTAGGAGCACCATGACCGCGTCTAAGTCATCCCTGAGAGAGGCAATGCTTGCCCAGAAGAAAGCAATGGCATCCAAGACGTCTAGGCCAGGAAGCGCCATGGCGCACTTTTCACCCGTGCGCCCGGCGTCGTCGGCGTCGTCGGCCGCCACCGCCGCTGCTGCCAACGGCGCATCCAAGCCGCCCATTCGGCAACGGCCGGAGCAGACAGCTGCTACCACTGGGCCCAACAGTCTGTTGGGCGCCCCTGTGCGCCCGCGGAAGAGACCCGAGATGGCCCCGAGGCCCGCAACCGCTGGGCCCTATTCGGTGCGCACACACGACGGGCCGTCTGCCGAGCATACCAGCCCGTCCGAGAAGAGCCGGCAAAACGCTGTTACGCCCAAATCTCTCGCGGGATCGCCTAGGAGAACGGTCACGAGGACAAAGCCAGGACATGCTGCGACGGCTAGTGAACCGAATGTTCCGTCCCCATCGAAGCTGGGCGTAGCAAGTAAGGCGGCCGCGCCCTCTCCCCGAGCAAGTCTACCGAAGCCGATCCAGACGAAACGCACTCCTGTCAAACCTAAAGCCTCAGCGCCGGCCAAGAGCCAGGCGTCGAGTAGCCCGTGCATGCCCGACGAGGGTCTTGGTATGGAGTTTTCGAATCCTGACGAGATCAAGGCGACTACCCCTACACCCAAGATAGTGGAACCTGTCATGGAACCGGCTGTGGAACCAGCGACGGAGCCAACGGTTGAGCCGGGCAGGGAAACAATCCCGGGCCCGGTCGTTGTGATGCCCGAGGAAGAGCCGGTGGCAAGGCCAGTCACACCGGCCAACAATGGGCCGAAGCCGCTGGAAGTCTACGAAGATCCCTTTACCGCAAGCCAAACTACTCCCAAGCCCGTAATGACACACCCTGTCCTTGAGGACAGGCCCGTCAACGCGGATGCTGGGAATCTCTCTCGCTCTCTGGACGGGAGTGGAGCTGGCGACCATGCCAACGGCGACATGCCCGACAAATCCAAGCAGCACGCTCGGCTGCTCGAAAGCGGGATCAACAAAGTGAATGCTCAATCTCTGGATGTTCATGGGTTCCGCAAACTGCAGGCGGTGCTCCGCGACCCCAAGATGTCACTTTCAGACGACAAGTTCGAAAAGCTATTGACAGGGTTGTTCGAGTACCTCCAATCCCCTCTAAGTAACCTGGCCCCCGAGAAAGTGCCAGATGTGAAGGCGCAAATCCTTGCTACCATCAAGCTACTTCTCAAGAAGTCGAGCCGGAACTTTGGGCCGCACGTGTCTCGGGGTCTCGAGTCAATCCTAGAGGCAAGGCGCGCGTATGAATCCCGTACGCACATAGTCTCTGGGATGGAGCTGCTGGCGGACGAGCTCGTCATGCTCGGGCACGCGGCGGAGATCATCGTGGTGCTGACGCGGGCGCTCCATGAGACGGAGATGGACGCGCGCGGGTGCCGGTCCCTTAGCATGGGCCTGCACGTTCTGAAGCAGACGGTGGACTCGCGGCCCGACTTCCAGCCCAGCGACGGCGAGCTAGCGGCGCTCGGCGACCTCGCCGCCCGGTGTCTCAACAGCCACGAGTCCGGGGTACGCATGGACGCCGTACAGCTCTGCGTGGCGCTCCACGCCCGTGTCGGTGACGCACCCTTCTGGGATGCCCTTCGGGGCGTCAAGGACGATCCCAAGAGCCTCATTACATACTACATTGTCAAGCGACAGCGCGAACACGGCGGCGTGGCCGGGTCCACCCCGCCCGCCGCGTCTGCCGCCTCGGTTACGGCTTGCTGAAACCATCCGGCCATATTACCCGGCCGGGCCCTCCCGCCTCATCTCTCTTCCTGTCCCTTTTCTGGTGCTTTGTTTTGTTTGCGCGTGTTGCCTTATTTATTCCCTACGCCGTCATCTCGTTTCAGCTACCTCATTTTTTTCTAATTTAATATCAGAGCGGGTTGCAGCCCCAAAATAGAACGCATATTTCGTCGCGTTGAGCCCGGCTGGGTCTTTGCCCGACGGAAGGACCCCCCCCCCCCCC